GCCCCTGCAACAATGCATCGGCAACATGCTCACGACCTCAAGCTCAAGTCCCGTTGTAGTTTGGGTTCCCCACACACACACACACACCCCACACACACACACACACACACACCCCACACACACACACACCCCACACACACACACACACAACGCACGCACATGTGCGAGAATCGGTGTGGCCAGCATGAACCTCAGCGCTACACCGTGTGTCCAGAGCCTGAAACAGGACTTTCAACACTGATGTCTGTGTACGGGCTGTAGGGTGATTCTGTTGGCTTGGGAATGTTGGATATGCAGGTCTTGTGAGAAGACCGGCCCAAAGCTTTCGAGTACCGAGCTAGTGGTATCGTTGTCGAGGGGTTGTCAGCTCAAAGTAGTCCACTGCGACAAGCAACAATGAAACCAAACATGTGCATTTCGCAAGGATCCGTGGATCTCCCCTGCTAGCGGACCTAGTTGGTGGGGTTCCACCTTTGGAAGCCACACTGGTAACCGTACACATGCAGTTCACGAGTACAGGTGGATGTGCCCCCGTTTTTAGTAGTTATGGTTGCAGGGTCTGTGTGGGCTGCACGTTATGAGAACCTCAAAGTGTTTTTTTTTCCTCTCTCTCTCTCTCCCGCCCTCTCCCTGTCGCTTGCTCCACATCTCCTTTTGGTGTGTGCATCAAGCTACACAGTCAAGCAGCCAAAACACGTAGGTTTGCCTGTAAACACACACACACAGAAAAGTAGAGACAAAAGATAGAGACAGAGACACACATACATACACACACACACAAGGAGAGAGAGAGAGAGAGAGAGAGAGAGACAGAAACGCAAACACACGGACACACACGGACACACACACACACACAGAGACAAACACAAGCACACACACACACATACACATTCAAACACAAACACAAACACAACTGCAACCACAACAAACACCCACAAACACAAACACACACACACACACGCGCGCGCGCATAAACATTGACAGCCACAGAAAAATTGTCACAGAGACAAACAGAAACACAAACACATATACACAGTCAAAGCGGCGATTACACGCCGCAACGCTTGCTCTGTGCTGTTCGCGCGCTCGCCGAGCTCTCCTCGAGCAGAGATCGGATGCGGGTAGGCAGTATAGGGTCGCCATAATCGGGGAGGTATGTAGTGCATTTAGAGTACGGCATGTCGCAGTGGCGGCTCGGTACTGTAGGAAGCTCGGCTTCGGGACTAGTACAGGATGCAGGTGGGGTGTAGCTTTATGGTAAGCTTCCCAGTGTTCACCTCCCCCTCCCTAAGAATGAACAAATTCATATTTCGAATCCGCAGGAAGGCTGTATCTTCCAGTTCGAGGGTCGCTGCTTGCGCCGACCAGCTGACGCAGTGGCATTCCTGAGTGTTCGAAAATCTCAAGCGGAGGATTCGTGTCACAAACTTACACTGAAGTTGTGAGTTGCTTCGCTTCTCAACTCTCACAGCTCCAACGATCCCCCTGAAGCCCCGCAGCTTTCAAGGTCGGGACCTGTGGTTTCGAAGCTTGGCTTGCTGTTCAAGTATACCCTGTGCGACACCCTGGTATCGGCTCAGACCTTGCCTCACAACCATGGCAGCATGCCAACCCCAAGCCAGTGAACCAATAGCTTCTGGCAGGCCTGCCCTCCGGCCTTCCCATTCCCAGAGCTTAAGCGAGGATCTCAAGGAAAATGGCCATGATCATGTTGAAGATGCCCACAGCGACCAGCATGGTGACGCAGACCTTGGCGCGGACTCAGTTTAGGATAAAGGTTCATACAAAGGCTTGACAGCTTGTTTCTCCTTCTGCTCATCTGTCCGCCGACGAGGAAATATGCTTCTCACAGCCTGCAGTCAAGTTGCATAGCCCAGGGTGAAAGGGGCTCCGTACACGATGCGCAATCGCTCTGCCAATGGTGTTCCGGCATAGTCCGAACAACCATCCGTGAAGCAACGGAACAAAGTGAACCTCGGGACGCTGGCGCCGGGCGCGGAAATGCTTCTGTCAGGCTGGGATGCATAGCACGTCTTAGGCCCGGACATGGAGTTGGGGATGTTCTTGAACTCTTCCATCGCGTCACCGACGAGATTTCGCATGACGATGCCAAATACATAGATGACTGCGAACCTGGTGCAGTGTCAGGACAGCCGGGTAAGGCCGGTGCAAACGACGCTGTTGCCACGCTTTGGCACTCTCAAGCTTTGCTTGTTTATTCTTGCTTGGTGCATGGGCATCAACATCAGGGTCCAAGATTAACTGCTTTTGGAAACCGCTTTGTATGTCCTGCTCACCTGCTCCAGGTTTAAGACAAGCCGCAGGAGCACGACTGCCCAGAAGAGCACGCCACACCCATTCATGATGCCTAATGTAATCTGACGGAGTTCGCCAAACATCTTGAAGTTCAGCACGCGGACGGTTCTCATCAACCTTGTGGCTCGGGCCATGCTTGCAAAAGCCACTCAATCAGGATAGCTTTGCAGTTGCGAAATATACACACGAGGGCATCGGCAGATCTTGGATTTAGAGTTCTGGGTTGAAGGTGAAGACGCCCATACAGGCAAAGACCTCGAACTTCCGGTACCCCGGTATAATGCTTCCATTTTGGGCCGCTGCTTGCCACCAAAGACGGCCCATGCGTAAGCTGAGTGTCAGGTTTAGCATCTAGCGGTAGACTCACGTGCACACCAGGTTTGTGTCTCATGCGTGTGGACCCAGTGACTCGGCAACATGGTCCATAAGCGTCTCTTGCTGCATCGTTTCGCTTTTCTTTGCCTCCCGCAGGGCAAGTTGTTTGGTAAGTAGATTGCCAGGGTTTACGCGATTTGGGATGCACGCCGGGGGCGGCGCATTGAGGCCATTTAGGCTATGCTGGATTCGGCTAGTACCAGGCAGCTGCAAAAGCGCGGGCTGGGTGTACCAGCCGAGCAACTGCCCCAAGCGAAACACCCGCACCACCGTCACATCTTCGAGAAAAGGTGTGGAGGTGAAGCCGAGGACAGAAACAATCACAGCACTGAGTTCCAACAGCGCGCACCTGCAGCCACATGATAGCAAGGTCTGGGGTGAATGCAGCACGAAGTCAAACCGTCCCGATTCTCCCCTTGCCGAGACGCAGGAGGCAAAGGAAATCAAACCAGTTCCATGTCCAGTTTTCTGCCCAGAAGTAGCCCCTGCAGCCAAGGAGTCCGAGCTTGATCATGAACTCCTGGAAGACTACGAAGATGGAAGAAAACAAATCCAAGAGACACACACACACACAGACACACATGCGCACGAGCACACACGCGCAAACACACGTCGGTCCAGGAGATAAAACATTGCGAAGCAGCATTCGACCAGACGAAGGATTGAATCATTCTCTATGACGTCACTGTCCAGCGCGATTGTAATGGCATTCCTGTGCACAGCCGAGGGCGTTCACATGGAGCGGGCCCTTGTGCCTGCTCGTGCTGTGCTCTCGGGATTGCTAGTCCAAGCTCGGAAACTGATTATCCTGTAGACATGATCGCTCCCACGAAAAACTGCCGCCCGTCGTACCATCCAGTTGCAGCCGAGATTCAGCAAAATCACAATTGGCGGGCCAAACTCAAGGAGCTTGCCGACAAAGCCACTGGCACCACTCTGCCCCTGTCGTTGCCCACGAGGCTCACTTGTCGCAGGACTGTCTAGATCTACGTGGCGCTGGCATCTTCAAGCGTCCGTCCTGGCCCGATTGGCCGCTGATCCGCTTTGGATCCAGCACAGAGGCTGAGGGCTGCAGCGGCCGGAGCAGGACCGGACCACGCCGCACCTGCGAATCTCGCGGGGCTGAAGGAGATCAAAAGGCGGAGAATCATGGAGGAACGGTGCATGTGCTGTGTGGAACAACAGTTCTGCTCGGGCCTGCGGAACGATTTGTAATCAGGTCCATGCATGTAGTTCTTAGCTGACCTTGCACTGACAACTCGGATCCCCTCTGCCTGCTGGGACGTCTTCAGCGCCTCACTCGGGCTGACAATTGAACAACCACAGACCGATTGAGCAATTGCTGCACGTTCAACAGTGCAGAAAGGATGCACAGCGCAAGTGCGACTGGATATGATATAAGGATGTATCTGGTACCACGGGAAGCGATCTTTCCGGCTTCTCTGCATGACCCGCCCAATCTACGATTCGGCGCTCGGCCTTCTTGTGCAGAACTGGGTGAGGCTGCGCCTCCTTCAAGCTGACTCCCTGCACCTCGTCGCTCTCAGTGTCGCTCTCAAAGCCTCGGCGCATCAAATGTCACACGTCTATCTCCGAAGTCGAGTAAAAGTTCGTGATGGCTCGCCACTATTCGCCACTTCTCTGGCAAGTAACTAATTTCATGCACGATGGCTTTTGAGGTTTACAGTAACATCGAACCAGCTGTACGAGCGTCAGGGCCCAAAGCCAAACCCTAAAGCTGCAAACGTCTGAAAATCCAAGCCACCCTCCAGGTCCCAACTCTCGAGAAGTTCGAGTGCAGCCCGGATGCACACGGGCTCCATCTTGCCGGACGACGCCAGCTCCTAAACGGAGGCACGTCTTAGCAAAAGCGGCCGTCTCTGTCAGTTTCCGATGATCGGCACCACATGACATCTGGCATTTGCGACACAGGGCTTCGATCTGAGATCGGTCACTCAAGGCCATTCGTACACCCTCTGCGTGCCGCACCCTCGAGGCGAAGTCCCTTGCAACTGACTGCGGCCAGCCAGCATGCCAGGCACACCGGGGTTGGTCTTGAATGCTACCGTCGTGCCCGACTGCTGGTGTGGAAAGCAGTTGTGCAAAGGCCAGGCAGCGAACACCGCTGCACGCTCCTACTTGCGTTCCCGAGATACTGCGATGTGGCTCGGACATGCCTCGCAGGTACCAGAAGTTAAGACCCTGCATGTCGTCCTCGTTCTCTGTGCGTGGTGCCTCGAGCATGTCGTGGAGTTTGCGCAGCTCACTGGCCAGGGCAGCCAGATGGTCATCACCTCGGGCAGGAGCAGGTGCCCTCCTTCCTTTTTACGGAGTATACGTCTGTTTCTTGCCGGCTCTCTCGGACTATAGTTGTCTAATAACCTATGAAGTCCGAAGGACACCCTTTTTGAAGCCCAGTTGCACTTTCTCAATGCCTTGGAAGTCGCGAGCTGCACGCCTGTAGTCATGAAGCAGAATGTAAACCGTAATTGGGAACTTCTTGCGCCGGAGGAGACAAAATATGCTTACGAAGGAACAAATTGAGTCCAGAGGGCAAGAATGCAACAGCTGAGTGCAAGGGAGTCTGTCACTTATCTGCTTGGTGGGCAGCCGTGTCAGTAGCCCGAACTTCTGCTCCTAAGGCATCCCCCACCGCCACGTGCCCAATCATGTGCAACGCAACTCGACAGCTCATGGTCATGGTCGAACATCGCCGAACATGACCAAAGGATCTCCAGGGCCTGATGGATGTCCCAAGCTCGCTCTCACACATGGCGGCTTCGCGACGGCTGCTGATGGTAGTTGCGGATGCGGCATAAAGCAACGACCGATCGAGGGTCTTGAATTCGAGAGAGAAACTGCGGCGGCGGCTCATTCACCCGTTCACGGGTTTGTCGCTGCTTAACCTGCAGCTCAATTTGCAGATCTATCAGACGTCGTGCCCACTAGTTGACTAACGGACACTGACACCAAGCAACAAAACGTTTGTCGCTCGAATGGTTGAACCTGAAACTCGCAGGACAGGGTGACCATCGTTTGAACGCGAAAATGCCCTACCCCATGATGTCCGCAGTTTCCCAAGCTTCACTTCGTGCGATTGAACCACGCTAGGATTTGCACTGCAGGCTCTTTGGCCATGCGATCGTCCTCCTTGCAGCTCCCTTCAGGAGGCAGCGGTGACGGGATCATTAGTTTCTTCTAGGCATGGCGTGCGGCAAACGCGCATCGAACGGAGGAATTGAAGATGTAATCAACTCTTGTCCCGAGCTACAACTCTGCACGTGGCCCTTGCTTCAGGACCCGGGCGAAGCCTTGGAATGCAACAAGAAAATGTGATGCTTCGCAACGGCGTTTTAAGGAACCAGGGTCGTTACCTTGCAATTCGCCAAACACTCAGCGATGATTTCAATTTGGATAAAGGGTTGACCCTTACACGACACACGGGAAGCACGGCAAGGATCGGATAACAAATTCTCCTGTCAGAGTTATGAACCAGCAGGGCAGTGTCAGGCTGCTGGTAATTTCTGGCGATAATGCCGATTATGAGGACCAGGCAGCTTGCAGTACTGTGATTCTCGGAACCTTAACTCCTCAAACTTAGTTGCAACTTCGAGCTTGGAACACCATGCACCCTGGCAAAGTACCTGTGTCAGATGCCGTCTGTGGGCAATGTTAAGGCTTGTTCCTGAAGCACAGATGCTGGATGATGTTAGCAGCTTGTTGAAGCATGTCCGGGCCAGCCTCGCTGTGGGGCCCCCTGGCTTTGAAGCTGGTGGCATAAATCATGTGCTCCTGTCCAGCTCAACTTCGACATGACTCAATCCTGTCTTGAGGATTCCTAGCCTTTTTTCTAGCCAAAACCAAACAGGTCTCTGTGAGTTCACAAGCTCTTTTCACAGGGCAAGTACGCAGGTTTAAAGCATCACTCCCTATTCGACTTCGCTCTGCAGACCCGCAAACACAAAGCCACAAAGCCCCGCCTTGCCGACTGTGCGAACCAACTGGCTATTTTGCACAGAGCAGGGTTTCAGTGTCGACTCCAAAAAGGAAGGAGCGCTGGCCTCGATGCCTGGCACATCGATGGCCTTGGCTTTCACCAGCTCCTCATCCTGTGGAGCAGGCCGAATATTGCTACTCTGGCTCATAAAACTAAAGCGGACGGGGTCGGATTAATGAACTGGTTTTTGCGCCCCTTCTGGCCTCCTCCTCCTCCTCCTCCTACTACTACTACCACCACTA